AAAAACTAGAAAACAAAGAATGCCAGAATACTTCGTTGGGGTTTGAAAATTTTTAACCCCTTTTTATTATATTTCCAAACAAAAAGGGAAAAATAATCCATTGCTGATGCCCCCTTAGGCCTTGAATCTTTATTATATACTTTATTTTAACAGTAGAGTGGTATTTTTGACATCTAGTTGTGGAGGAAAATGGAGTGATGTAGGACTGTGTCATCGTCTATGTTACAACCTCTGCTCTCGACAATGCTACCCCCCACCGAGAGTACAAGTAAGGCGATGCCCGTGCGAGGGGGGAGGGTTTTGGCCCCCAATTTACTCCCTTTTTTACAAAAAAAAAGGCTGGTTAAAATAAGTTCTGTAATAATATATCGCGAACCATTTATTACTGCTAGATAAAGCAGGTTCGACTTTTATTATTATCGGGACGTATGAATCATCAAAGTACTCTTTGTATTATATTATATTGTATTTATTATATTATTATTAGGTTAGGGATTACGAAAGTGAAACCCTATGTAGTGCCAATTGGTGGTTTAGAATTGAGCCATGCATCGCCTTTGGGGCCCAGCTGAAGTATACTATGCAGTAATTTAAATGAGTCGTCAGTCCCAGCTTGATGGTAGGGTCTTCCCCCAAAACTCCCGCTTAAACTAAAACTTTAAACCAAATCTATTGTTTGCCTTTGCCATTAGTTTCCCTGAAATCTGGTTTAAATTTAGTCCTTATGAAAAAAAATATTTCGTTACCCCCCCCTTTCTAAAAGAGTTAAATGGGAAGTTAGTAGATTTTAAATTTAAATTTTGATCATACTCTGTTAAAAGAAATTTTAACGTTAGATTGTGTTTTCTTGTGTATAGTATTTCTTTTAATTGCTTGTGGTTTTTTAATTCACTAACCAAATACCCAAAGAAAAAAAAGATTGGTAATAATATAAAACTAACAAAAAAAATGGGGTATTTTGCCCCTATTGTTATGGGAAGATTAAGTTGAAACAAAAAAATCCCCTTAAGTTCCTTTTAAAAAATGGTGTTCGAAACTGTCAATCCCCATTGCTACTAATAAATTATCAATCCCATAATACCGTACGGAGGGGGTTTAAGGGGGCCAGAGTTACTCCTATCTTCAAGAAAAATAGTAGGTCTGATGTCAGCAACTAGAGGCCTGTTAGAATACTAAGTATAATATCTAAAATTCTAGAGAGGGCGGTGTACTCTCAAGTAGTTAAGAACCTTTATGACAACAACATTCTCCATAGCTATCACTCGGGCTTTAGAAGATCCTACTCAACCGACACCTCCCTAATTAATCTGATGGATTACCTGAGAACTGAAATGTCAAAGGGGAACCTCATAGGTATGGTAACCTTAGACCTGCAAAAGGCCCTCGATACTGTCAACCATAGTATATTATGTAAGAAACTTCAAGCTATCGGTATAGGTTCTGTAGACTGGTTTAAGTCCTACCTTAGCAACAGGAGACAAATAGTCAAAATCAACAAAACGGAATCAGAACCCCTGCCAATAACATGTGGAGTTCCCGAAGGTAGTATTCTGGGTCCCTTATTATTCTTATGTTATGTCAATGACATGCTTATCTGTGTCAAGTGCAAACTACTTTATGCAGATGACAGTGCCCTGTTAGTGTTAGGTAAAAACCCACAAGATATAGCTAATGTTTTAACACTGGAACTGGAGTTCTGCAGCAAATGGTTAGTAGACAACAAACAATCATTACACCTCGGGAAAACTGAAGCCATTCTCTTTGGCACGAAACATAAACTGAGAAGGGTAAATAATGTTAATGTCCAGTGTAATGGGGAGCCCATCACTTTGGTTTCATCAGTAAAATATCTGGGAATCCCCTTTGACCCATGCATGTCAGGAGAATTGATAGGGAACAGTGTAGTTAAACCATACCCCCGGCCGGGATTGAACCCGCGGTCATAGTCTCAAAACTCCAGCCCGTCTGTAAAAACTTGCATTTGTGGTCACAGAGGTGCCTGTGCTAACTTTCCTATGGTGTAGAAATATACCTAGTTGGATGAATCTTATTGTGGCTAGCTGGTCTAGTGGCTAACGCGACGGGCTGGAGTTTTGAGACTCTATGACCGCGGGTTCAATCCCGGCCGGGGGTATGGTTTATTTGCAATCGTGTCATTACGATTTCTTAAGTCAGTGTAGTTAAGAAAGCGAATGCCAGACTGAGTTCCTGTATAGATAAGCACAGTGTCTACCTACTGAGGCTCGCAGACCCCTATGTCTAGCCCTTATACAATGCCATATGGATTACGCTTGCTCTTCATGGTACTCTGCCTTGACAAAAAAACTGAAAGATTGACTGCAAATCACCCAGAAAAAATTCATAAGATTCATCCTGGGGCTGGGACCAAGAGAACATGTAGGCCAGGATGAATTACAGCAGTTGGATATGCTGAATGTTGAAGACAGAGTAAAACAACTGAAGCTAAATCATGTTTATAAAATTGCTCACAAACAGTGTCCAGAATATCTTGCTGTCAATTTTGTCAAGGTTGGGAACCAAAGCAATCATAGTACTAGGGGGAGAGAGCACAACTTTGTAGTACCCACAGTCATTGGCCAGGCTTCAAACACCTTTTATTGTATAGCAATAGAGGAATGGAACAGACTGCCCGCACATGTCAAAGCCAGTCATAGAATGAACCAGTTCAAGAAGAGTGCCAAAAGGTGTGTCAGCATAGTTGCTGATCCCCTTATATGTGTTGTATAGCGTATTATAGTACCATCCATGTGTTTATACAGAAGATTCCTTAGACCTGTGACTGTATGACATCACGGGGTACAGCTTGAGTCAGGGTGAGATGCGCTGCCTCGTTCTCACTCAACGGATAGACATAGAAGCAGGCAGAACAGGGCAGGTCTGGGCTCCCACCTCTCATCCACAGTCTGACAATATATACAAGGTATTTATTTACCTTCAACCCTCGTGTCTCCTTAAGAACCCCTACGACAGGTGTCTGATGAATGTAGCTACAGAAAGGGAGGGGAATGATTTTCTATTTTTTAGCTAACATACGTGTAAATTTTACCTTATTCCTAGTAATGACCCTCGTATTATAGATGTCTTAATGACCCTCGTGTAGTAGATAGTCTTTTTAGTATGATAATAAGATGTTATCTTCATTATAGAATAATAAGAAAATATTATAACCTTTATATTATAATAATAAGGTAAAAGGACCCCAATGGAAATAAGTCACTCTGTCTGACTTTTTTGGGTTATCCCAGGTTCTCTACACATATGCTGCTACCTGGAGGTTACCTGGAGGTTATTCCGGGGATCAACGCCCCCGCGGCCCGGTCCACGACCAGGCCTCCCGATGGATCAGGGCCTGATCAACTAGGCTGTTACTGCTGGCCGCACGCAGTCCGACGTACGAGCCACAGCCCGGCTGATCCGGCACTGACTTTAGGTATCTGTCCAGCTCTCTCTTGAAGGCAGCCAGGGGTTTATTGGCAATTCCCCTAATGCTTGATGGGAGGCTGTTGAACAGTTTTGGGCCCTGGACACTTATGGTGTTTTCTCTTAGTGTACCAATGGCGCCCCTACTTTTTATTGGGGGCATTTTGCATCGCCTGCCCAGTCTTTTACTTTCGTAGGGAGTGATTTCTGTGTGCAGATTTGGGACCATTCCTTCCAAGATTTTCCAAGTGTAGATTATGATATATCTCTCCCTCCTGCGTTCCAACGAGTACAAGTCAAGTGCTTTCAAGCGTTCCCAGTAGTTAAGGTGCTTGACAGAACTTATACGTGCAGTAAAGGATCTCTGTACACTCTCTAGATCTGCGATTTCACCTGCTTTGTATGGAGATGTTAATGTACAGCAGTATTCCAGCCTAGAGAGAACAAGTGATTTGAAAAGGATCATCATGGGCTTGGCATCTCTCGTTTTGAAAGTTCTCATTATCCATCCTATCATTTTCTTTGCACGTGCGATCGTGGCACTGTTGTGATCCTTGAAAGTGAGATCCTCAGACATTACTACTCCCAGGTCCCTTACATTATTTTTCCGCTCTATTGTATGGCCGGATCAGTAGTATACTCTGTTCTAGTTATTATCTCCTCCAGTTTTCCATAACGGAGTAGTTGGAATTTGTCCTCATTGAACATCATATTGTTTACCGTTGCCCACTGGAAAACTTTATTTATATCTTCTTGGAGGTTAACCGCGTCCTCAGCAGATGACAGCCTCATGCAGATCCTAGTATCATCCGCAAAGGATGATACGGTGCTGTGGTGTATATCTCTGTTTATGTCTGATATGAGGATAAGGAATAAGATGGGGGCGAGTACTGTGCCTTGTGGAACAGAGCTCTTCACTATGGCAGCCTCCGATTTAACTCTGTTGACCACTACTCTTTGTGTTCGATTTGTTAGGAAGTTGAAGATCCATCTCCCCACTTTCCCAGTTATTCCTTTAGCACGTATTTTATGGGCTATTACGCCATGATCGCATTTGTCAAATGCTTTTGCAAAGTCTGTGTATATTACATCTGCATTCTGATTTTCTTCCAGTGCATCCAAGGCCATGTCATAGTGATCCAGTAGTTGTGAGAGGCAGGAGCGACCTGCCCTGAACCCATGTTGCCCTGGATTGTGCAGATTTTGGGAATCCAGGTGATTTGCAATCCTGCTTCTTAGCACTCTTTCAAAGATTTTTATGATGTGGGACGTCAGAGCTATTGGTCTATAGTTCTTAGCTAATGCTTTGCTGCCACCTTTATGGAGTGGGGCTATATCCGTTGTTTTAAGTGACTGTGGAATTTCACCCATGCTATGTATGATAATTCTATGTAACTGTATTTGTGTATACCTGAATAAACTTACTTACCTTGTAGGAATGTCGTAGAACAATGATTCTTGTACCTTTGTGTTGCCAGAGAGTTAAGCTATTTTTCTATAAGATTAACTCAGTTTGTGAATTTTTCGACAAAATTTTTTCGTTCGCGCTGAGCCCGCTCTAGGGGAAGAATTCCTCATAACTCAAATAAGGGATTAAAGTACACTACGAATGTATACATTCATTTTTAATTAGGTAAATGTTGCTCTGAATCCTTGGATCAAGAGCCATTGCTAAACAAAACGAAAATTGCTAGGTTGGCGGGAAGCAGCAGCCAATTAAAGCCACGATTTAACCTATGACGTCACAGACTCGACAGCCAAGACCCAGTAGCCAATCAAGAGTTGTGACGTCACTGTTGAGGATGTATACATCATGGTTGATAAGCCAATGAAAGTGCTCATAGGCTCATACGTCACAGTCTGGTGGTGGTGCATAAGTCCCCGCCTCAGTCATGCGTAGGAGAGGTTGATGTGAGAGTGCTCGCTCCTCTGGTAAGCATTTTTCCTTTATATCGCCTAAATTACTGGTTGTTTTCATTAACTAATGCTTTTACATGGTCATAAACAGTATATATATATATCTTTTAAAGTAATTGTGCAATTATTGATTTTTGTTCCAATAAATTTGTTGAAACTAAGTTCAGCAGCTAACTTTATATGGTAAGTGCTAACTATATTATATGGTCACTTGTGTAACTTGCACTTGTCACCATTTATTACGTCAGTACTGGTTTATGATGGGTTGAAACATTAACAAGAGGTCATTTAGTGTAAATTGACACCACCACTTGTGAGTTGTAACTTGTCACTTTACCACATACAAGAGGAAAGTTTAACTTATGTCACTAGTAAGTGGTAAGTTGTCACTATCACTTAAGTGATTTAGAGTAACGCCCCTGTAACACTTCTTACAGTGGCACAGTAATGTGCGCCGATAAATTAGCGCCAATGTTTATAATACATGTTAGGACCATTAAGATATTAATCAAATAAAATATTTCCTTATTCTAGGCTATTTCTCCCCTCAAGGAAGGTTCCTTGATGTTGGTGAGGGGCTCTTGATTTAGGGAATTGGATCTGTGCTCCAGTTCCCCGAATTAAGCCTGAATGCCTTCCACATCCCCCCCCCAGGCGCTGTATAATCCTCCGAGTTTAGCGCTTCCCCCTTGATTATAATAATAATAATAGGCTATTTCTACATTAATATTTATTTTTATTAGGGGGAGATTGCTCCAAATCCTTGGATCAAGAGCCCATCACCTGCCAGGTGTATGCATGTCACCGCTCCGGCCACAGCCAATGAAAACGAGAGTTACTAAGTTGGCGGAAAACAGAAGCCAATTACAGCCTAGATTAGCCTATGACGTCACGGGTTCGAGCGCCAAAACCCAGCAGCCAATCAGCAGTCGTGATGTCACTTGACAAGCCAATCAAAGCGCACAGAGACTACTACGTCACAGTGGTGGTGGTAAGTCATGCGCGGGAGATGGCGTGAGGGCGCGCGCTCCTCTGGTAAGCATTTTTCCCATATTTCTCCTAAATTACTTGTCATTTACATTGTTTTTACATGGTAATATAAAGTGTGTGTATATCTGAAATAGTAATACTGCAAAATATGGTAAGTAACTTTTAATGTCACCACTTAAGTGGCTGTAAATTGTCATGTACCACTTGCATAAGTTGTCACTAGCACTAAATGGTAAATTGTTTACAAATTGTAAGTGGTGGGTAGTAACGTATGTCGTTTTACCACTTTGTCGTTTATGGTTGTAACTTGCCACTTCACTAATGTCACTTATAAGTGGTCGTTTATGGTCTTGTAATTTGTCACCACCAATTAAGTGGCAATTTAGTATGGCATCACAATACCACTTGTATGTGGTCAATTATAATTGTACCTTTTACACTTTATCACTTACGTAAGTGGTCGTTAGTTTATATATTCTGTAAGTGGCATTTAATATCACCTTTACGGGCAGGATCTTGATCCAAGGAATCTGAGCCACTATTTCCAGTAGTGACTTCCATTCCCCAGGCACTGTATGACCCCCCCCCGGGTTTAGCGCTTTACCGTAAATGCCACGGCACAGCATGTGCGCTCAGTTGGCGCCATTAACTCGCGTTCTTGGCGCCAATGTGTGAAATCCGCTCTAGGAAGCGCAAAGCCAGGTCTCTCAGCCCCCCAAATGATTAATGAGTTTCAAAACTTAACCACGCGTGGGTCAAGTGTATATATACACTTGAAATGTTTATATATAAACGTGTATATATACTCGGTGTATATACATTGAAATTCAGAATATATATAAAATATTTTCTCATTTCTGGACTATTTCTACATATAATTGCTTTTATTGGGGGGTGCTCCAAATCCTTGGATCAAGAGTTCATCAAAATGTCCTGGCCACAGCCAAATACAAAGTTGGCGGGAAGCAGCAGCCAATTAGTCTCGAGTTAACCTATGACGTCACGGGTTCGAGCGCCAAGACCCAGCAGCCAGTCAGTAATCGTGACGTCACTTGGCCAAACATACGTCACTGTCGATCAGCCAATCACTTCAGCGGCTCCTACGTGACTGGTGGTGGTGCGGGAGCCCGCGAAAACTGGCGTCTCAGTCATGCACTGGAGAAAGTGGTAGGGGGGGGGTGTGCACTCTGGTAAGAATTTTATCCTCATTTCTTTAAAATTACTGGTCGTTTACATTAAATAATGCTTTTACATGGTTATATAAAGTAAATATATCTGAAGTAATAATTTTGTAAAATATGGTAACATGTCTATGTAAGTGGTTGTCAATTGTCACGTACCACTTACATAAGTGGTTGTAACTTGCCACTATACCTCTTATAATTGGTATGTCACTACCAATTAGAAGTAATTGGTTGTAACTTTGTCATTACCACTAATTGGTAAGTGTTAAGTTGTAATTTGTCATTTTACCCCTTACAAGTGATCGTTTATGATCGGTTGTAACTTGTCACTTTACCATTCACTACCACTTAAGTGATCGTTTATTTTAAATTTTCTGGACCATGGCCACGGTGGGAGGATCTTGATCCAATGAATCTGAGCCACCATTCCCAGTAATGAATATATTCCATTCCCCAGGCTATGGGGGATAATTCCACTCCCCAGGGGCTATGGGGAATATTCCATTCCTCGGGATATATTCCATTCCCCAGGGGCTATGGGGGATATATTCCATTCCCCAGGGGCTATGGGGGATATATTCCATTTCCCAGGCTCTACGGGGGATATATTCCATTCCTCGGGCTCTGCGGGGGATATATTCCATTCCCCAGGGGTTGTGGGGATTGATGTAAACTTGAAATGTGTGTATATAGCATATCAATGTGTATATATATACATGGTAATATAAACAGTATGTATATATAATCTGTAGTAGTAATTCTGTGAAATTATTTTTATTCCAGTTGAAAAAACCATACCCCTGGCAGGGATTGAACCCGCGGTCATAGTTGAAGCAGACGAGTTCACCAGTAGCTGTTAGCCTTTATGGTAAGTGGTAACGTTTGTCACTTTCACTTGTAAGTGATCAGTTATTACTTATCCCTTTACCATTTGTCTACAACTTATGCTATTTTACCACTTTTATGACCTTGCCATTTGTCACTTTCCCACTTTTACGACCTTACCATTTGTCACTACCACTTATATCACTACTGTAAATTTTAATTGAAATTATTATTCGCTGAAGCATTAATTTATTATCCAGCGTTTTATATATGGACTTTGTTGCCATGGATACGTGAATATGGTGGATGCCTTGTTGAATTATTCTAGTAAACTAAGATTTAAATGTCATTGTATACGTAGGTTTTTTTGTAATTACTGATTTTTATGTTTATTATTTTAAACTGATTTAAAGTTGATATAATTTTTTGCAGTTGCCATGTTTTAAGTTGATTCAAGTTAAATTTATTCATATTTTCCAAAAGCTTTTTCTTTGGGGGGGGTGTTGACCCTTTGAGATTCTAACGGTGTATGGCCCTTGTAGGTTTAGCGCTTCTTTATGGTTATATTATCCTTGTAGGTTTAGCGCTTCTTTATGGTTATAATGTATGGCCCTTGTAGGTTTAGCGCTTTATGGTTATGTATGGCCCGTTGGGTTTAGTTATTAGTTATGATTATAATTTTTAAAAATTGGTTTAGGAACTTCTTAGTAATTTTGAGATGATTTAAAGCTGAACACTTGTTCAATATTACTGGACTTTGGTTAATATTTTAGGCATTAAAAGTATTCTTGACAGGTGGTGCATAGGTTACATGCAGCCTTAATGACCGTGTAGTAAAAAGGCTTTAAACCCAATACCCTAGTGGGTTTAGTGCTTTTTGATTATTAAATCCAGCAAATCATGACGTTCGTGAAGTAGATAGGCTTTAAGCCCAATAAATTATGACCTTTGTGTAGTAGGCTTTAAGCCCAATAAATCGATCATGACTTGTGTAGTAGATAGGCTTTAAGCCCAATAAATTATGACCTTTGTGTAGTAGATAGGCTTTAAACCCAGTAAACAATGACCTTCATGAAGTAGATAGGTTTTAAACCCAATGAAGCAATTATGACTTGTGTAGTAGATAGGTTTTAAACCCAATAAATCATGACCTTCGTGTAGTAGATAGGCTTTAAGCCCAATAAATCCATCAAAACCGTGTAATCAGCTTTTAACTCGGGAAATCACTCATGGCTTTTGTGTAGTAGATAGGCTTTAAACCCAATAAATCATGACCTGTGTGTAGTAGATAGGCTTTAAATCCATTAAATCATTCATGACCTTCGTGTAATAAGCTTTGAACTCGGTAAATCACTTATGACCTTTGTGTAGTAGGCTTTAAACCCAATAAATAAATCATGACCTTTGTGTAGTAGGCTTTAAACCCAATAAATAAATCATGACCTTTGTGTAGTAGATAGGCTTTAAACCCAATAAATCATGACCTTTGTGTAGTAGATAGGCTTTAAACCCAATAAATAAATCATGACCTTTGTGTAGTAGATGGGCTTTAAACCCAATAAATCATGCCCTTTGTGTAGTAGATAGGCTTTAAACCCAATAAATCATGACCTTTGTGTAGTAGATAGGCTTTAAACCCAATAAATAAATCATGACCTTTGTGTAGTAGATAGGCTTTAAACCCAATAAATCATGACCTTTGTGTAGTAGATAGGCTTTAAACCCAATAAATAAATCATGACCTTTGTGTAGTAGATAGGCTTTAAACCCAATAAATAAATCATGACCTTTGTGTAGTAGATGGGCTTTAAACCCAATAAATCATGCCCTTTGTGTAGTAGATAGGCTTTAAACCCAATAAATAAATTATAATCTTTGTATAGTAGATAGGCTTTAAACCCAATCCATCAATGGTGTTTGCAGTACATTCCATTAAAACATAAAATTGTTATACAGTGGACCCCGACTTGCAATATTAATCAGTTCCTGAGAGTACATTGTAAGACGAAATTATCGTAAGTCAAATTAATTCTCCCCATAAGAAATAAAGGAAATCAAATTAATCCATTCAAGACACCCAAAAGTATGAAAAAAAATTTTAACACGAAATATACATTTTCCTATACACAAAAAGGAGGATACATGCACAATATATATTGTGCTTGTACTAGTGTACTAAATGATGGATAAATGACACCTTTATCGATAATGTAGTGATGACTGTCCTGGGAGTGCCTTTTCCTCCTGAGTAATGTAGGTCCTGTTTGGCATTTTCTTCCAGAACAGGCCTTATCACACTGGGTATGCCACTACGATTCTTAAATCTCTCAAACCAACGTTTGCTGGCCTTAAATTCGCTAATATGAGCACTAGTTCCAGGCATTTTTTCCTGTTCACCTGGGTGTTAGTCGACTGGTGTGGGTCGCATCCTGGGGGACAAGATTAAGGGCCCTAATGGAAATAAGTTAGTCCTTGATGACACACTGACTTTCTTGCATTATCCTGGGTGGCTAACCCTCTGGGGTTAATTGTTTCTCGGTATTCTCGATAAGCCACACCAATAACAGTCTCTCCACATCTTCGAGTAGTACAGCTGACCGTGGTACGATAGCATTTCTCACCCTTTTTACCACAGGGTTGGCACAAGAAGCTTTCTTTGGGCCCATGGTGGCCTTTTTAGCAGTTACAAGCACTAACCGTGCAACCGTGTCTGCCCCGGCTTGTAAACAATGTCGCACAAGCTCAGCTGAGGCGTTTAGGCCAGACAGACGCGTGGACGCTATGGGATGAATGATGCAAGTTTTTCAACGCATGTTGGGGTCAAATTTTTATGCTGACAAGCATCATAAGTCGGTTTTAACATACATTACATTGAGGACATCATAAGTCCGGGGTCCACTGTATATGAAATATTAATAATATTCTCATTGCTAATCTTTAAAAATTTTATATATATTTCTTAGGTTTGACACTTCTTTATATAATAGGTATAATATGTAATAGTAATAGTAAGAATATTACTTTTATGATTAGTAATATTGTAATTAGTACAGTGGACCCTCGAATTTCATGATTAATCCGTTCCAGACACCCAAAAATATTAAAAATGTATTTTTTTCAAATTAAATAGATTTACATACAGAAAACAATGAGAAATCAAGTACACATATATCAGATATTGCACTTACCACTTCTGGGTGGATGGGAGGAAGGGAGAGGAAGAAGGTATACTATTGTTTGGAAGGGGAATTCCCTTCCATAAAGACTTCAGGTACCAAGTCCTTCTCTAGGGTTACTTTGTTTTTTAATGGCACTGTAACCAGCTTGTCACTGGACCCCTGTTGCACAAAATATCTGTCCAGAGAGCTCTGTTTCTGGCGTGTCTTTGAAACATCCCAAAAATGGGACACAACATTGTCATTGTACATGTTGCCAACACAGCCTGCAACAGCTTTGTCAGTAAGTAAGTAAGTAAGTTTATTCAGGTATACACAAATACAGTTACATAGAATTATCATACATAGCAGCATATGTGTAGAGAACCTAGGATAACCCAAAAAAGTCAGACAGAGTGACTTATTTCCATTGGGGTCCTTTTACCTTATTATAATATAAAGGTTATAATATTTTCTTATTATTCTACAATGAAGATAACATCTTATTATCATACTAAAAAGACTATCTACTACACCAAGGTCATTAAGACTATCTACAATACGAGGGTCATTACTAGGAATATGGTAAAATTTACACGTATGTTAGCTAAAAAATAGAAAATCATTCCCCTCCCTTTCTGTAGCTACATTCATCAGACACCTTTTGGCACTCTTCTTGAACTGGTTCATGCTATGACTGGCTTTGACATGTGTGGGTAGTCTGTTCCATTCCTTTATTGCTGTACAATAAAAGGTGTTTGAAGCCTGGCCACTGACTGGGTACTACAAAGTTGTGTTCTCTCCCCCTAGTACTATGATTGCTTTGGTTCCCAACCTTGACAAAATTGACAGCAAGATATTCTGGACATTGTTTGTGAGCAATTTTATAAACATGATTTAGCTTCAGTTGTTTTACTGTCTTCAACATTCAGCATATCCAACTGCTGTAATTCATCCTGGCCTACATGTTCTCTTGGTCCCAGGTCCAGGATGAATCTTACGATTTTGTTCTGGGTGATTTGCAGTCTATCTTTCAGTTTTTTTTGTCAAGGCAGAGTACCAAGAAGAGCAAGCGTAATGCATATGGCATTGTATAAGGGCTAGACATAGGGTCCTGCGAGCCTCAGTAGGTAGACACTGTGCTTGTCTATACAGGAACTTCAGTCTGGCATTCGCTTTCTTTACTACACTGTTCCCTATCAATTCTCCTGACATGCATGGGTCAAAGGGGATTCCCAAATATTTTACTGATGAAACCAAAGTGATGGGCTCCCCATTACATTGAACATTAAAATTATTTACCCTTCTCAGTTTGTTTCGTGCCAAAGAGAATGGCTTCAGTTTTCCCTAGGTGTAATGATAGTTTGTTGTCTACTAACCATTTGCTGCAGGACTCCAGTTCCAGTGTTAAAACATTAGCAATATCTTGTGGGTCTTTACCTGACACTAACAGAGCACTGTCATCTGCATACAGTAGGAGTTTGCACTTGACACTGGCAAAATATAGTCTCGCGGTTCATGACTGACCTCGTAATTCGGCAAACATCTGGTATGGGTCCGAACGGCATCCCAGTGTCAACGCGCACACAAAGCCAGAAGGGTGAAGTTCATCCATAAGGGTTTGCACTTCAATCCACTTTGTACAAATGTCCTTAATCTTTGAAGAAGGCAGCTTCCTCCATCTCTATTCCTCCTCTGAAGAAAATTCCTGAGCTGTGGTCTGTTGGTGTTGCAGATGAAGCTCTTGCAGTTCTGTAGTGCTTAGCTCTTCATTGTGGTCCTCCATCAACTCTTCCACATCCTCGAAACTCACATCCAACCCTATGGAATTCCCCAATGCCACAATGCTTTCCACAACTGGCATAGGCTCCTCAGGGTTAGCCTCAAACCTTTCAAAATCCTTCTTGTACACATTCAGGTCACAATTTTCTCCAAGCAGAGTTCGAAGTCCTGCAAGTCGCTCCCTCCCAAGCCTTACCCGAAAGGTTTATGCAGTGGAGGATATTG